TGGGGGAAACTTGGTTGTACTTTTGGACTTTGGCGCTGGAAAATTTGCAAAATTTGCATTTGGAATTCAACGTAACATGCAAACGAATGAAGACGACGAACGACTAACACAGAGGTGATTCTTATTTTCTCAGATCTATCTCAATTTTCAAAGCGTGCAAACGCGACTTTCAACTTGATTTGTACATTTTTACCTTCGTGGCTAACTTGGCTTCAGTAAAAGAGGTTGGTGTAAGAGTTACGATAGCATGTTTATGTGCCTGCCCCGTCCTCCTTACTACGTCCCTTAATTTCAGTGTCGTTTATAGCTTTCATGTTCTTCTCCACCATCATTAAATCATCTCACTAATAATTTAAGTTTATTATTATTATAAATGGTGTATCATACAGAATGTTTGAAATTTCTTGTTTATTTGCCATTGAGCTAATGTTGGGTTATAATTTCAGGATAAATTTACAATGCTCAAAAAAAATTTATGAATGAATTTTTCAGATTTTCAAACTATCTAACGCGTAATAACTGCTTAACCGCTTCAAATAATGATACAGTTGAACTAGAAAAGACAGTAAACTCTGACTTAAAAATCTTAAAAAAGTGGTTGACAGCAAAGTAACTTAATTAGAATTTTCGCATCAACAATTTACATATTGCAGCAATTTTTCACTTCCGTCACAAGGATTGTACACAGGCGCCACTCGATGTGGGAGCCTTTGATGTTCGCCTGTTTTGAGTTCTCAATCCCGGGTATTTTAAAAAAATTTTTGGGAATTGTTGTTCAATGTAAGAAACGTTCTAAATATGGATCTCGCATACAATTGAAAGCAAGAAACTAACTATAAAACCCGTAAAATTTTATTTGACGAACGTATTTTACAACAAAACTGTTTCTCACCTCATATCCTTTGCATCCTGTCCGATGGCATTTAAAATTTTGTCCATAAGTGAATTTACATTCGTCAACTTTTCGAAAACAACTCTTCATAATATTAACATATATACATTCTGGCCAGTTTATCTGGCTGGAGTAATGGCGGACGCAACGGATGCGCATTTGAGAACTGGGTGCAAGTGGGGGACAGATTTTTCGCTGAGTGGCGCTTCTGTTACGTATCTATTCTGTGATAGAATTATTAAACTTTAAAGTTTATAACAACCTTATTTTGCGCCTGTGTGACATTTTTTTCATCAAGTTATATAATATTAAATCATAAAAATAGATTTTGTATACTTGTTATTTTCTTGGGAGCGCCACGGTACAAAAGCGAGCATTTACGTTATTATAATTTATACCAATATAGACATGGGTTGCAAGCTTTGCAAGAAATTCTACAACAAGAGAAGGTTGGAACATGGGGAACGTGACGCAAGCAATGGTGAACAAAATGTTCAAAATCGTCTTGGTGAAATGACGTCAGGAATAGAAAATGGTGGAAGACGTCATCCCATACAAGAGACTCTAATTGAGGAATTCAATTTTTTACCTCATGTCTTGGATTTGATAAGAGAATATGGATATTCCATGGAGCTGAATGATTTTGTGTTGAATGTTCAGTCAACACAAGAAGAAGTTTAAATCAGAATGTATTAGTTGCCAATTTTCAGGTGCGTTTTCAAAGTCGCATTTTACATGAGCCGAATGCGTTTAAAACAAAAGAGAACGAGGAATTTATCTAATATTTTGTGTCTTGAATGCATTTGGCGTATGTAAAATGCCGCGATTAAAACTTATCTAAGTATAGAAAGAACCAGTCACTATATAATAGTGTAAAATGTAAGCACTTGAAAACGCATCTTGTTTCAAAACGGAAACTTTCAAGGACATATTTGTTTACATCTTGTGTAACTTATTGACAAATAACTTTCGCATTTTACATGAGCCGAATGCGTTTAAAACAAAAGAGAACGAGGAATTTCGTCTCAATTTCTTTTTGTTTTGAATGCTTATGACACATGTAAAATGTGCCGTGTGAACCGGGCCTTAGTATAGAAATAAGCATTCATTATTTATCATCGTAAAAATAACCATTCACTATATAATAGTGTAAAATGTAAGCACTTGAAAACGCATCTTGTTTCAAAAACGGAAACTTTCAAGGACATATTTGTTTTCATCTTGTGTAACTTATTGACAATTAATTAATGTAGCTATTTAATAACTTTCTTTAAACTTTTGTATGTAAAATATATATTTATTTTTTATCTATGTCATTATTAACTTTGAATGGAATGATAATTTTTGATGTAACAGTTTTGACAGTGGTTTTAACATCAAACCGCTCACCGTTTTCTCTCGAAGTGTTCCTAGTAGACTAAAGCAGTTGATTTCAAAACAAGCCAAATAATAATGGTAAATTCTGGTTATTTAAAACAACGAGAAGATATTGTAAACTGCTACACAAATGCAGAATGATTTCATAAATGGTTTAATGTATTTCCTCGTGTCGAGTGGGACTTATTCAAGCTCTTGACCAATCACCGCACCGCATTGTGTTTATTTTATGACGCCTGATGACGCCTAGATGACGCCTGAAGCAGCACAACCGGATTGGCTGAAATGCAGTGTAAGGCAATCATTTTTTGAGTAATGGTAAATGTGATATAGTTTTATATTTAATCTGTCCTTTCATCTTTGCTGCCCTCGCATACTTCTGTAGCGTGGAAATTTTCCAACGTAAGTTTATAATGTACTATTTTCATGAAAGCATTTTACACTTCTGTTTTAAGCATTTTGATTCTTATAAATAAACGTTCAAAGACGAGTCTATTTGAGAGCACGCGGTTTTTGTGAGCACTTTAAATATCGATTTGTGTCATATGTTTAAGTGTGACTTCATGTTTTCTTTATCCGTTCTTCTTCCAGGCTTTTGGGATGAATAAATATCCAATCATTGGGAAACGTGAACGTTTTAAAATCAAGGAAAAGCGAACTACTAAAAACAATGAAGATGTTGAGAAATATGTGACTGTTCTTGGCGACTGGCGTTCCCAATTGCGTACCCTAGACAGACATGAAAGTGCTGGTAAAACTGACCGCCACTTAATTCGCTCATTTTGTGTTCTTCATCAGTGTCTTGTATTTTGTTGTATCTTGTTGGACAAGGTAAAGACATTATTGTCTGATAAAGGCAAACTCACTTATGAAAAGATAAATCAACTGAATGATCTAAAAGTAGATCTCTACAAGTTAACCAAGCTTCTCGATGAAATAAATCTGATCTACAACAATTTTTGTGGCTTTAAGCAAGAAATTACAATTGAGTATGTGTATGAATTTAATCTTGATAATGCTTTGAGTAGTATAGAAAGTGCCATTTCCAATCTAAACCATCCTGAGATAAATGATCTCTTTGACTTGGATATCACCCCAGAAGATGTTCTGTGCTCAGTGCTTGGTTTGAAAGATGAGTTTGCTTGCAGGCTTCTCGAGCTAACTCCTTACATGAGAAAACACAAAAGTGAAAAGGTACATTTGCTAACATTTTTAAAGGAGTTTAAGGAAGAAGACAGCATAAAAAATCTCAGAGATGGTGAAAAGGTTGCTAAAATCTTGTGCAAGATTGGTTTTACAAAGCATCGATCTGAATTTATTGCTAAATGGATAACCAGCATGCCAGATCCGAATCACAAACCAATTTTATCCTGGGTGAAAACTTACATTGAAGATCATTTTAAGTATGATATCTTCTTAAATGATCAAGTTTCGTATTTTCCTTTCAAAAATGATAATCAAAATGAATGGTTTACTGTGAATATCCCACGTTTAGATGAAGAGGGAAGACATAGTCATCCTATAAATATGATCAATGTTGCATCGCAAGAAGATGCTCTACACCATGTTGGATCAAAAGTTGCTGAACTAAATGAAAATAATCCTGAGACAGAAGTATATTTCCATTGTACTGATCACGAAAGTGCTGTGGATATTGTGGAAATTGGAATTGTGCTGGGTTTTGGTCGAAAGAAATCAGACTTCTCTGATGGAGCAGGTTTCTACATGGTAAATAATGCAAAGTTCTCATTAGAGCAATATGGAAAGACCAGTACTCATCCAGCTATTATCATGTTTGACGTGAGTGCTCAAAAACTGAGCAAGTTTAAAGGAATTGATTTATCCAGTGCTGAAAAAGAAGAAGATTGGAAATTGATTGTTGAGTATTTTCGCTCAAGTAGCCATGGTATTGGTAATTTACCCAAGAATTTGTTCTCACACATAAGACAATGTGATTACATCCGAGGGCCTGTTTCCCTAAATGGTTCTATTGAAAATAACACATTATCTCAAGGTGTTGAACAAATTTGCATAAAAGAACGAGAATTGGCCAAGCTAATTGGGCATCCATCATTAATCTTAGGCGTTATTTTTCTTAAAGCTCATGAACTGATCCAAAAGGGAAATGAGCTTGGCAGTAAAGATGACAACCATGACATGGCAGAATTGAAGATTGAGCCAATAATAATTGACAAAATCTAAACATGCATTATAGTAATAAACATTTGAAAGTTGATTTTGTAAGTTGTTGTAAATTTCAGGAACCTTTAATCTTATAACCGACAGGTGTTATACCCAAGAACAGTTGGTATAACATATTTTATTGTATACTTATATGTAGAACCAACAGTAGATCATTGTAAACTATGATTATCTTTTTACTATTTATACCTGAACATTGTGACATACTTAAGTTAGGAAACGAACTATTTACTGCTTGTTGTAGATTAGATAATTTGATTTGGCTTTTGTGTGATGTCATGATAAATATCAAAAAAATTGGAATTTTTGTTCTTTAGTATTCATTCTGTTAGCATTGCACTTACAGCTTGTTGATGATGCCTTTAGAGTGCTGAGTTTTCTTGCTTAACAAATTTGCAAAACAACACTGGTTTGCTCTTTGTACAACTACACAAATCACAAATGTTTCTAATATTAAAGGCAAATCAGCAATATGCATAACACGTGATTTAATCCTCTAAGTATTGAATATTTATATATAGTCAATGGCGCGGTATATTAATGGCTTTGTTATTGTGAAATTGAGATTCAGTGTTTATTTGTTGCTTTGAATTGCATTCAAAGCTTCAGAATTTCGACAATGACTTCACGAAAGCGTTGCTACAATGGATTAAAACATGCAAAACAACATATTATATTATTTTTCATTTTATTCGGCGTACTTTGTGGATTTTTACTCGGCTCTTTATTACATGGCAATGTTCAGTCGTCCATAGATCCAACACCGAAGGAATATGCAATGTATGTGTCGTTTCTTGGTGAGATTTGGGTGAGAGCTTTAAGACTTGGTTCTTCCTTTGATTGTATCCAGCCTGCTTTTGGCAGTCGCTGAATTGGAGTCAAAACAGAGCGGAAAATTGGGAAGTAGAACATTGCTGTATTTTCTTATGACTACAATGTTTGGGGAGTAATTTGTTTATTTGCATTTAACCTGGAAATGTTAACGTGAAAGAACCAGAACCGAACGAAGAAAAAGTTGAACCAATACATTCTGTGCTTGATCTTATAAGGTTTGTGCTAAATATTCATAAATTTACTGAGTTTGCGCCTTGCTTTTGCGTTCACTGCAAAAATTTTCCTATACGTATAACTTTTATTTCTATTATTTAACGACAATGCTTTTTACTTTTTCAATATGAACATAATAGCCCAACATAAGACATTTAAAAAAACCATCATAATAATAAAATAAAGAAAGATTAAAGGTTTTTTAATAATTACGTTTCGTCTTTAACTTAAGACATCTTCAGATTATTTGAGATAAATTATATACATGAGTTTTTAAATACAAGCATATATTACAGGGTGTTAAATTACATGTGAGGGGAGTAGGAAGTTTAGATGAAGGAATGAAATGAGAATGGCGGTATATTAAAGAAGGTGAAGGGGGATTGAGTTGCCTTGGGTGTTAAGAGAGGGTTTAAGTTTGGATATAAGAAGGCTTTCATGAATCATAAGGTCATAATTGTCGGCTTTTTACTTTACTAAAGGAAACCTTTTTTATTAGAACGTAAGTGCTTCTTTCGCAAAACTGTGCAAATGTGGAGATTTCCAAGTGCGTAGATAACCCATTCACCTTCACTGTTGTGAAACAATAATAAATACATTTACGATATTAGTTGTAAATACATTTTATTATGTCATATGAACCATACCAAAGAGAGCAAAGGTAATGCTACAAGATCATAATAAGAACATCAAGATTTTAAATGGATACATAGCCTTTATGAAACACAAGCTTTACAACAATGATCTTGAAATATAAAAATTGCAATAAACCTTCCACACTCTACTCATCACACACTCAATTTCTCATCTCTTTGCGACAGTGAGTGGAAGGTTTATTGAAATTTTTGAATTTCAAATTAAAAAAGATCTTTACTCCTTTTGAATTTTAAAACTTCTTTAATATAAACGACAAGTTTTTTGAAAGTAGACATGTTTTGACATATCATGCCATCTTCAGTATAAGTGAAATAATAGGTGATACAGGGTTTATATAAAAGTAATATGTTACATAAATTACAACAATAAAAAGGAAATAAGATATATTAATGGTGAGCATCCGAGCGTATTATAAACTAAATATTGTATTGAATTTAAAAACTTGAACATTGAGGTCAGGGTTAGTTTTGTTAATATGGAGTGCTTCTTTGATTTTAAGGGAGAATGAGGTGTTGGCAGTGTCGATGATTTTGAAGCAAGAGGGTGAATATTAGGTTTTACATGAGTGAGATTTAAGAAGGTGTTGGTAGATATGAGATTTAAAATCTTGATGTTCAAGTTTTTAAATTCAATACAATATGACAGATCATTCTCATTGAAATGCATCAATTGCAATATTGCTACATAAACACAATGAGGATGAACATTTTGATGTTCACGAAAACAAGATTTAATTATTTATAGATGTCCCAAATGTGTACAGCAATGTAATTATATCTTACAATAGCTGCACCAGGCCTAAATACCATACAATGATAAAAAATCTTTTGAAAATTTCACTGTGTGATTGTAAACTGTTTTCTTTAAGATAAATCCCATTTCACCAACAACCTATGTTGTCATGACAACAACAATAAATCAAGAAGAAGGTTTGAAAGCTTTGGAAACATCTATCAAAGTCATCGAAGAAGTCATTATGAACAAGAAAGGAACATTTGTTTTACAACAAGCTGTAAGTGTTTGGTTTATATTTCTATGAAAAGTATATTGTATCACTAAAATGACATCCCCCTGGTGCCTCTACTGTCCTCGTATCATCCTGTTACCATTTCCCTAAGTACCCCATGCTGTATTAAGACGGACATATTCAATCATTAGTCGTTTATTTGAAAATTACAATGACACCATCCCAATGCATTGAAATCAATAATATTTGGACCCTGTGACATTGGCAATAATTTATGTTAACTGTCCACAAAAATTAGTTTTTCCTAAAGCTAATTATGCATTGTGATATCATAACAATGCTTTTGCATATTGAAGAAAAGTTATGTGTCTCCAAAACAAAATAAAATAACAAAGCACATGTTCACACCATTTACACAATGACTGTCTCATGTTTGCTTTGTCTGACTGTGTAACTATTATCAGAAGGACATCACTTGAGTCCATTGGACATTTTACACACCTGTATGATGTATCAAAGATGTGAAATCATACAACTGACGTATGTTTAATGAGCTGCTTTTTTTTACAACGTCAGAGAAAAGAATAAAATAAGCAGAGTTTGTCTTGTTCTTATTTGAGTAGTACTTTATGTTTAACTTAGGAGCTAAACATGTTTCATACAAAATGTTTTATGGTTTTTGATTGGTTATATGAAATGATATTTAATATGTATTACATATAATTGAACAACAGTTTTTCTATTATGTCTGTTGACATAAATTATAAGCGACACAATACCAAATGGACAAAAGCACAGTAATTTTTAAAACAAAGGATTGATATGATGAGCAACAAACAGCAATATCTTTTATATTTTGTCACTTAATTTAGACAAAGTAATTGTATAACCTTTTATTTTTAAACTCTCTTATAACTAAGTTAATTTATTACATGTTTGTAGATGTAGATCGTCCGGGTTGGTATAATCCTGAGAAGGACTGTTTTTGTTGTTGTTGACTGACGTTTCGACAACCTTAGCGGTAGTCATCTTCAGAATCAAATCAGAAGTAAACGTCAGGTTAGCCATATTTGTTATCTGGTTCTTTTTTACGCAGCGGTGGTTGAACCAGAGTTGTTGGCGTATGCGTCTGACGTTGCTTGCAAAACGTATGTAATCGTTAGCAAGTTGTTCGCTCTGTCGTCCAAATGATCGTAATAAAGTAAATGGTTTGAACCCGGGAGTATCGTTATATGTTTGTAAATGTAGATCGTCCATGTTGGTATAGTCCTGAGAAGGACTGTTTTTGTTGTTGTTGACTGATGTTCAACCACCGCTATGTAAGAACCAGATAACAAAAACGGCTAACTTGACGTTTACTCCTCATTTGATTCTGAAGATGACTAACGCTAAGGTTGTCGAAACGTCAGTCAACAACAACAAAAACAGTCCTTCTCAGGACTATACCAACCTGGATGATCTACATTTACAAACATGTAACGATGCTCCCGGGTTCAAACCATTTACTTTAAGTTAATTTATAAAAGTAACAGCAAGAAGTAACACTGTATGTATGTATAATATGCAAACATTAAATTAGGAGTAATTGAACGAGCAGTTTTCCAAAGTTCATTTTACAAAATTTGCATGCTAAAGGCAAGCGGTAGAAAAGCAATTGCTTCATTTATATTATTCATCTTTACATGTACATGTTGCAGTTGACATGAAAGTTTGAACTCAGCCAATAACCAATTAAATCATGTTAACTTAAGCTTAAAGGATATTTTCTGTATTTTGTTCAATTTGTTGCCAGCCAGCACAAGATCAACACATCCATTAACACCAACAGTTATGCGGTGTCATATATGTATCTCTCAGTCTCCCAGTGTTTGTGTGTAAGTATATTATTTGATTTCATCTGGATTCATGTTACTCAGCTGTTTTCAGCAAGGAATTACTTTTATACACATACAAACTTGAATGGTACAATCCATGTTGCGGTCACTATTCATGGCACATTAGCATTCTATTTACATACATACAGTGATTATGAGCATGGAATTGATTTGTTGTATAGGACTGATTACACATTACATTAAACAAAGAGGAATAAGTCTTATTGGACCTATAAGTCCATGTCTTTCGCAAACTGTAATGTTTGTTCCTTAAAATATTAAAATACACTGCTACATAAGTGTCACGCGCTCGGAAAGCCGACGGCAATCTCGATTGAGCATAAGTATATCCACTTCCGGTGCTTGACTTGCGACAATTATAGAGACGTCTTGGCAAATTTATCATAAAATTCATTGCTATTTTGAATGAAAACTGTTTTTATTAGATAAATACTATATCGTCATTTGTCGTCCAAACGCTTTGTGAAGAGTAAAATCGTTCTTCACGGATAAATCAAACGAAATATTTTTCTATAAATGAACAGAGTCAACAGAGTGATGATTTAATGAGTTTAACTTGTGAAAGCAAAACTTCCCTGTTAATTCGTTAGTTGAGTTGTCCTGGTAAAATTTATAATTCGTCTAAAACTCTTGTGGACTTTGTGGTCTAGTAGCTATGAACCCGAAATATTTATAGTTGTATAATTATGATATGTTCGTGTCAGTTTATTCCAAGGTCATGTTGTCGTTATCAAATTGATACAAACTCTTCCATAATAGGCTCTACAACACTCTCACTTTGTACTTTTCTTGACCATTACATTACACATACGTACATATTTTAAAACGAAAAGTATTTGAGATGCTCAAACAGTTATACTACGTAAAACATTTTTTGGCTCTGGGACTGTAAAGTCACTATTGAGAGCTTTTACTTATTTATTGTCTACTTGTAATAACACATTAAATGTACTCCTATCCAGCATGCGGTCAATAAAATATTCGTGACGTTAAATGCGCCAATGATAACATGAAATCACATTGCTTTTCTAACTGAGTCAATCTCCTTGATACAAATGAGCAACCGTTCATAAAGCCATATTATTGCTATTGTTATAAAATGTACTTTTGTCACCCTGTGTGATGATGCAGACTTCGGCGAAATTATTTATTGTTGCGTTTTAGGCCGTCGTTTACACTATACCGGATTGCTATCGTAGCAGGTTGAATATTCTTTGTATTAAAAGGCAGTGAAATTGTTCAACGTCAGAAACACGATCAAATAGACTAAATCTATCAGCTTAATAAGCTTTTACTCCAAACAGTTACCCCTTTAAAACAAATGAAGATGTCGTGATGAGCGAATCCGGTATAGTGTAAACGCAACCTTATTCCTCAATACATGACCCGATGTTCGTGGTATTTACGTTGGTGGCAATTATTTGCAAGAAATATTATTTTTCGTAATCCCTAGTACCATATTTGGCATAGGTTTATGATGTAGAATAGGTTATTGTTTATGATCTTTAATCTTATTGGCTAAGCAAACACTCCATGGAAGTACGAAAGAATGTTTTATGCAGTGCGGTGTTTGAAATTAAATGTAGATATGATTTTCGCACTTTGTTGGACAATTTAAGCAATTGTCTCATGAACCTGAAAATTGTCTCATTCAGGTGACTCAACGGGGTTCGAATCCCGTTGAGTCACCTGAATGAGACAATTGCTTAAATTGTCCAACAAAGTGGGAAGATCATATCAACATTTAACTCCATGGAAATGTTATAAAAGTGGTATCATTCTTCAGTGTTCCCAACAGTTGATATACAACAGCCCGACTACACATTAAACAATATACATCCACTGGATCCACGTCTTCTTCCTATATTGAAAGGTCTACACAGAATCATAGTGGAAAACTGTAAGCGTGTAAAACTGGAGACTTGACAAATTGACTTGATTCTTGTATATTTCTTTGCGTGGCTAACTTCGCTTTAAAAGAAAAGGTAGATATGACTTATCTATTTTATTTTACACTAGGTAATAAAATATTTTGCTATTCTTACGATTCGAACCATCCATTTCAACAACGCTTCGTCAAATGATAGTATGAAACAAGTTTCATACATTTCAGCATTTTTCCTGCTGGATCGTTTTTCCGATCATTTTGAACTACGTTTTGATATCAAAATATACTGCAGTACATTTTAGCAAAGTTATCGACATTGTGAGCTAAAATAATTTTACTCCGAGGAAACCACGCAATTACAGCAAACCCGAGTTGTTTAGTTGTCTGTTTTTTCGCTTTTGGAAACAAAATATTCGCAATTTTAATTTATTATTATTATACTGGATGAAAGAAAATTGTTTATGATCTTCAATTTTTTCTACATTTCTATGTAGTCAGTGTGGGTCATGTGCGTACAACCCTACAATTCCGCAAATGTTTCAGAAAATGATCACGTGATATAAAGACAAATACTTATGAATTCCAGACTCAAAGATTTACTTTGCAAATTTCAGAACATTACCATTGATAATTCTCTAGAAATCTATAGTTTCACCGTCTGAGAGTGGTGAAATTTGAAATTCGTAGTTAGTTGTCTATTTTGTAGAACAGTCCACATTATGCCTCTTCCCTATTCTAATTATGTTTAGATCGTCATTTACAAAAAGATGACCGAAAAAGGTAAAAAATCCTGTGTTGAAAAAGAGAATAACGTTAAAGAAGATAGTTGTGATGGGCTAGAAGATGGCAACGAAAGATACGACAGTGCAGTGGAAAATGAAAGTATGGAAGATGGTGGAAATACTCGACCAATTCTAAATTTACCCATTCAAGAAACGCTTCCTGAAGAATTTTTGCTTGACCTGCAAGACTTGACAAGAGGAGATAGATGTGCGATGGAAATGCTCAACGAAGATTTGGTTTTGAATGTACCATCAACGTTAGAAAAACTTTAAAGATTTGTCAACTTCAACGTAAAATGATTTATACTAAGAGAAATAAATCATGTACATTTTTTATGATAAATAGGTTTGTGTAAAACGCAAGAACTCAAGAAAATATTTTGTTTTAACCATTCAATAATCAATGGAAGAAAGGCATACTTTAATCTTATGTACTAATGAACAATGTAAAATAATTTGTACGTTTTTGTAAATCTCTTT